TCACAATTCAATTCTCTACAGGATGAGCTGCTTTTCTTTTCTTTTTATATCTTTTTATATAATCAAAAATTCAGTTTTCAGATGATGAGTCATCGGAAAATTAAGTTTTTTCAACTTTCGAGTCCCATAACTTTACAACGAAAGGACGTATCGAGTAGAAAAATTTTGTGGGAGTGGGCAAAGTACTAGGCAAAGCACAAGAAAAAATTTGCTCAAGCGAGCCTCTTGTAACCTGAGTTATTATAGAAACATATCTCAACAAGTGATTGTACTAGAAAGTAACGTTTCTCTCATATATAAGTGAGTTATACTATAAGTTATTTCATTTTACAAAATTGAAACAATACGTGTTTGTATGAGTGAACCGATATTGCCATTTTTATTTATAATTTATCTTCAATCTAAATAAATTATTGCTCATCAGTAAAATAATTGTTCAGTCAATATAATTATTGTTCAGTCGGTGTTATTATTGCTAAAATTTATTATTGCTTATTCAGGTTATTTTATTGCTCATTCAAATAAAAGTCATATCTTTCAATCAAAAGCATCATTACGTTGTTGCAATTTTCCCACATCATTTGTTATGATTCTTCTAATATCACATTAACGAAATTGCAAACGAACTGGTATTGATTTTCATTCACACGGTATTTCTGCAAAATATTCCGGTAATATAATTAAAACTTATTATAAGACATCTAATGTGTATGAAAATGTTTCTATTAAACAACAGCATAACTAACAACATTAGTCACAAGAAGAAATTGAAGCTTTCGAAAATCAAATGGGATAAACAAAACAAAACACTATTGTCATATCATTTTTATTAATCTAGCAAGAACAGATGATTTCCATTTCTCTTTTTTTTAAACTAACATAACATGCATATCTAGCTACATTTCCTCTTTTCAATCTATACGTTTATCAAACTCCTGCCTTTGAATCATATATCCATTTGCTCACTGATGTTTCTGTTTGATTATACACCTATCTCTCTATCCGAGATGTTCACATAAACTTTATTCACCCTACAGCGCCAGCTGCAAACTTTAGTTTCCAATCCACTGTAGACCTACAGCTTGAAAATTTTCGAAAAGCTACGACTAATGCACGAATCAACTTGGGAATTAGATATTTAGCGACAGTTTTAAAAACAGCATCTTTACCTACGAGTATACGCTTCCTTTAGAAGTAACTTCGTAAATGAGAAACCAACACGCGAAAAATTTGTTTTCCTACTTGCGCACATGAACACCGATCGGACGTGTTCCAAGAATATCACTGGGCACTGTATTAAATCCTAGTGACGGAGAATTCACTACGACACTGGCCAGTGCACCATTGTTATATTTATCATCTCTATTCCTCTTTATTCTTTTTTACTTTCCCCGTAACAACACAAGCTCGATATCAGAACAGCGAGAGAGAACACAGAATCAACATAACTATCACTGACGGGATGGAATGAAACAGATTGAAGCACTCTTTATGGCAGAAGATATCGCTTCTGCCATAACACTAGTTATCCTACACGATATATTTATAGTCAATTCAAAAAATTCTTTACTAAATATTTGATTACATCAACGTCGATTATTTCAATGATGCATGATGAAAATAAATTTCTACTGGTACGTCGTCAATTATTAGATCAAGTAACTACTGAGGAACATCGACAAGCAGCACGTATTGCTCAAATGTTTGATTATGATAATTTTCCTCCGACTATCGATCCATTGGTCAAATCTAAATTATTAAAACGACAACAACGAGCTAATGCGATTTTTCTTTATTATACCTACGAAAAACGTTTTCCACATTATGGACGAACAATTCATCGAATATGGAACGATACATTTCAGAATACACCAATTGAAATGACCAGACTTATTGCTGGTAGTCGAAACAGTCCAAATCTGACGAATGAACTTGTCCGTCGAAATCCTTTTATCAAAAATAGAAACTTAGACAACAAAAAATCCATCATGAACTGATTCCATTGTTTCTCTGAATTCATTTCTATCTTTGTACTTTTCTATATTTATTACTACTACTATATCGGTTTCTCTACTACTTCAACACTTAACCAATACTCAATTTTCTTCTTTTTTCTTCACTGAAAAATAAAATCTCATCATTCTCTCCGGTAATATGATGTGAACGATTTTAGTGCAGTTTGTCTCCAGTCTTCTTCATTTTTATTGTCATGCTTATTTTTTAGAATAAAAATACTTTTATCGTTTTTACAATAAATGTAAATGTTGAGAATTTTTCAAAGAAAACATTTCAACTATTATTATAGATCAATTGATGCCAATAGACGAATGAAAAGAAACAAGTTATTTAATATCGTCCTCGTTAATTGATTATCTAACATTTGATCATCAGGTTCGACTACAATCTGTAAACAATTATAACTTTCGATCGGAGTCTTTCTTTTTTTATATATTCTTCGTCATTTTATTGATGTTCTAAACAATCGTATGTTTCAAGTTATTCTGATGCAAATGAACAACATACACCGAATTAAGAATATTACGAGGTAATTTTGTTTCAGTTTTTAAATGATTGAATATTCTTTCTTCCGAGAATTTTTGCTTTGAAATTTGGAACAAGATTTATCCGTGTAAAATTCATTTTGAAGCAATTACTTAAACTTATCCTTATCCTCAAGATATGTACTTTTCTATGAAAAAAAAACGAAATTTTATTAATAATGGCATCATCTACATATTCATGCGTCGTAGAAACATTCCATTGAGAGAGAGGCACGTCGCTGCTAACATTCCATCACTTCACTTCGATCTTTTGATCTCCAGTCTTTAATAGCATTAGTGAAATATGTATATGTATTGTAGTACCTATACTCATCCAATAACGATGAGGTCTACTATTTTACATAGTAATTGTATATTATGTATTGATTTATCTTGTGGATCATTTATACAGATACTAGCCACTTGATAAGATCTGTAAAATCGACACATTTATATGTTTGTTGCGATAACTAGTTTGATCCTGTACCCTGAAGATAGTCTATCTCTACCACATGAATCAGGTGGATTGTTTGGTTGTTTGAAAAACTGTCAGTGACTCCCGTTGATTGTTTTTAAGTACTTTTAAATCACATATTTTTTCAACCGAAAATTAAAGTTTCATTTTTTATGTGAAATTTTCCTATTTAACGAATGTTAATCAAGGACTACGAATGATGTATGATTGTCCCATACAAACATGCTTTTTCAGTCAGGCAACATCGACCTGCAATGACGCCAAGTTGATACACGAGACTTGCTTTGATCGTACAAAAGGAGAGCCACAGCATGTTTCTTTATTGTCACAAACTAAAGACAATTGTTATGTCAGCGCAATTACCCACAGCATGAAAATAAAATTAAAAAAATAATAGCAGCAAGAAGATAGAGAGAATAGAAGAAAATAGAATATAAATATTATGAAAGAATTTGTCACTGAAGCTGTTTATCTCTGCGTTCGAGTTGGATAATGGCTTCTTTAGGTGCAATGACAGGCATTTCTACCAGTTGTTCGAATGGTTTGCGTGTTTTTTCACCACAATCGATTACTGTGTATGTTTTCAGCAGTCGAACAAGTAACATTTTAATTTCAAGCAAAGCAAAACGCATGCCAATACAATTACGCGGCCCAGCTCCGAATGGAATCCATGCCATCGGATGTCGTTTAGTGGCGAATCTTTCGGGATGGAACACTTGGGGATCCAAGGGACCCCACAAATTTGGATTGTAATGCAAATTGTACATGTCGACGCTAATCAGTGTATTTGCTGGTACTGTCCCAAAGCCTTTGATGCAAAAATCCTCGGTACTTTGACGACTAATCGCCGTAGGCGCAAGGGGAAACATGCGAAGAGTCTCCCGAATAAACATATCCAAATAGTTCATTTCGGAGACGGTTTCATATGTTGGCACGGTATCTTCTGTTTCTGGATCGAAATAAGCATCGATGTGCTCTTGCAACTTTCGCTGTTCTTCTGGATGGGTAGCAAGAACATAGATCACATAACTAAGAGCTGTACTTGTAGTCTCATAACCAGCAACCACTATAATGCTTAATTAATGTAAAATTTAACGATAGCAAGTGTAAGGGAGATTAGTTTACTCACTGAAAAGGAGAATGTTCGCTGAGGTCTCATGTTTAGTAATTTTTCGAACTAGTGGTGCTTCGACTTCAGTATCATCACTTTTCTCGCATGGTGCTAGCCCATCCTGTACGAATAGAAATACGAGTTGCACAAAAAGCTTGAAACTAGCTCCATTCATGTGAAAAATGATTTTATTGTTTCCTCAATTGCAGAGAGAATCTTACTTGAATGAAATCTTGATCGGACATAGACTCGAGCATCAGCTGTAATAAATCTGTTCGACCAGTATGACCAATATCTTTACGTTTTTCGATCATTTCATTAGCTTGTTTCATAATCCATGTACTGGGACTTTCCTCAATGAGTCGCTTTGTTGCGGGAATATAGCGCCGAAGCCAATAACGAATAATATTGGCTGCCTGAAATATACTTCTCCATACTTTTGTCAATTCTGTTATCAAAATAACCAAAATGAATATTATCCCACGAAACTTGTTCGGTGAAAACATCTTTTCCGAATTGAGGAGATATGGATCATTGACATTATTTTGCATGTCAGTTTCGAGACCGAAACCACATGACCAAATAGTGTCCATTGTGAATCGTTTGAAATATGCATAGATATCAAATGGTTCACCTCTGGCACACTGATCCGCCATTTTTTTCATTAGCATTTCGATACTTTGATGAATCAATGGTGACATTTGTTTTAATTTTAACGAGGAAAATGTTGGATTCAGAACAAACCGTTGTCGTTTCCAGCGAAGACCAACGGCATTGAACAGATGAGCATCCTTTGCGTGTTGACTTGCAAAAGGAGATTCACGACGGGAATGAAACTTCGAAAATGATTTAACAAATAAATCTTGAAGAATATCTGGATCTGATATGACAAGAATAGGCGTATGTCCTTCGAAATAACCAAAGATATGACCATACTTCTCAGTCCATTGCTGGATCGCAGCCGATATTCTTTTAGCTTTAATGACGTCTGAAAGATTGCCAAAGAAAAAAGTTGGTGTTGGTCCTGGAATGCCGAGTCGAATGAAGAAATCATAAGCCTTTCGAATGCGCCATATATATGCAATAACTACAACGAATAGCAAAGTGACGAGAGTAGCAGTAAGAAAAGACATTTCTGTTGAGTGTTTTTTATGCGACAACAACACAGTGAATAACTAACCATCTCTTTTTTTTCATTCTTGCAGTTGGGTCATGAAAAAGGCATCTGTTTCTCTTATCTTTCTTTCCGTTCTTCACTAAACTGCGCTAGTGGTGTGCAAGGTTTTTTTTTAGTATTAATAAGGCTTATTTATATCAAGCTGTGTATTTGGCTGACAAAATCACATGGATAGATACCACCCAGGTAGACAACGTAACAACCACAACAGTGTTTAAATATCACAATATGCAATGTGCGCAAAAAGTTTCTTTGGTCGCCAAAAATGCGTTAATCGTAGTGTATGATTAACTGATTTTTAACACGCGTTTTTGGCGACGAATAAAACATATTTCACGATTTGAACAGTGTAAAGAAAATGTCTGTTAACTCTCTAAGGACGTTGTGTCGCCTCTGTTCCAGTAAAGAAGGAAAAATCATAGACAAAAGATATGTTACAAAACTTGCATCTAGGGAAAGAACATTGCTGAATTCCGTACGAAATGAACAAGTTTCTTCCAGTCGGTAATCTGGGACGGAATTCTAAAAGACTCATCCTTTAGATGTAGGTTCGGGTAAAATACCTATTTCATTTTAGATTGTAGAAAAGATCTTTTTAACAAGAATCTTAACTTAAAGTTCAGAGCACCTAACGGCTCGAATTTTCAATGAAATATAAAATTTTCAAAAGAAAGTGCATATTTTCTCTCAAAAATTTGTTTTTCAAATCAGCAGCGAGTACATATACAAAGCAAAAGAAAGAAAAAGACAAAATTGCCTATTCATACTATAATCTTTCTTTTTATTGAACAGCATATCGCTGCCTCATTTATCAATAATTTCATCATCATCATATATCTTGGAGCTATAGCGGAAAGACTATGGTAAACTTTTTAGCTCTATATCATGCCGTTTGACAGAGATATTCACCAAACAAGGGTCATTGGATAATCCAAATTTCTCTGCTCAAACTCATTCTAATATATTTAATTTTTTATTGTTTGAAAGAGCATGTTAGAATGCAGTGCAGTACCGAGCTATTTTTTTATATAAGTGTTTGTATATATAATAAAAACAAAGCTTAATTGAAAAAGGAGACTCTTTATTGAACTGCATCATGACATGCTATATACACTGTAATTTGGAATTCATTTCTAGTTTATAGAAAATCGATCTGGAAAACTGTGGAGCTTTTTCTGATATTTATAAAATGCTCGTAGATTTTCTGGCTTTTTCGCGATTTTCTATAAATTGAGTTTTCATCTTATTCGGAAAATCGCCATAGAATTTCCAAAAATATCAAAATTCGGCGTCAATTTTATAAATACTGGAAATTCGAGTTTGATTTTCTAATATTCTAGAAAATCAATCGATTTTCTATAAATAATTCCCAAGATTCTTGAAATTCGAAATCGATTTTCTAAAATGCAATGAGCCATTTTGTTAACCTTAACTTTGACAGAGGTATATGTATGGCTGAAATCGACTAATGAACGCCTGAATGCGTCTTGTG